TGGAAGCTGATGCTAAGAGGTGCTCGACTAGTCAGGGTTCTAACCAGGCAAAGTGATACAACATCACCATACCGAGTGCAGAAAAGTGCTTCAAATTCAGCGGAGGGTTGCTTTAGGAATGTACGTGGGATTTTAGCACAAAAGCTCAAGAGCCATAATGTTTGAGAGAAGTGAACGAACACATTGCAGCTAGATTGAGATGGGGGCAGGGGCAGAGGAGGGCAGAGGTCATTACTGGGGCTTGAACTCAGGACCAGCTTTTTTCCTCAAGACCGGCATTCTATCACTTATACCATAGCCCCATTCTGGCTTTTTACTGGCTAAATGGAGATCAGAGTCTCATGAGCTTTTCTGGCTTTGAACCATGACCCTCAGAGCTCAGCCTCCTGAGTAGCAAGGATTACAAGTGTGAGCCACGGGTCCCTGGTGACAAGTGCATGATGAATATTACTTAATGAAAAGATGCTTTCAATTTCTTCTCAATCTCAGAGCAGGGGGCCTTGGTGAGAGAGCCGTGCATTGGCCGATGTCAAGTCCCTTTCTTTGGCCACAACATACAAGGGCAATGCACCACACCACCAATCACCACCCGGCTACCATGTTGAAATACATTTTAGAGGCCATGAATCTGGAAAGTTCTGAAGAGCCATTGTGCTTTCAAAAACTCCCTGTATGAAACCAGAGGAGAAGGCTGGCTAGGATGGATAGATGAAGGGATGCCATCTCAGACCTTGGGTAATGACTGTGTGTCATAAATAGGATGTGGCATTTCAGAATGTCTTTAAAGCTATTTCCTTTTGTTCAACTAATTTAATTTACCAAATGCTCCTGGGGAAAGGGGGAGGGAATCAAGATGCTGACTCCACATTTCCTGAAAGGAAAAAATCAACACTTTCTTTTGAAACTGCTCTCAAGGAAATTACATCTGATCGTTGTCTGCTGCCTCCCTCCAACTCTACCTCTGTCAAAATCCTGCCCTGGCAGGTGTGGGAAAGAATAGACACAGAACTTGGGTGAATACCCACATCTGTTTTTGGAAAAAGGGAACAGAAGCAGCACAGAAGGAAGTAACAGAGATAATTGCTGGCTTGAACTACAATACATTTTACTTGTGGGCAGAGGGCCAGCTTACAGCAGGCGAAATATGCAGGCCTATCTTATTGGAATTCAAGGGTGGGCCTCTGTTCCTGTCCGGAGACAGCTGTAAACCAGCAGCCCATAGCATCCCAATCAGGCCCTGAGTTTTGTCAAGGAATGCTGATATGTACAGAAGCAGCTTTGTCTGCCTCCACTGCACCCCTGCCTGGTGAGAATGACAGTCAATCTCTGATTCCAGATGACAAGGACTGGATAAAAACTTAAAACAAATGGCGACCTTTCAAAAGATTAATTTGTTTACCAACGCAATGTTCCCTCTTTGTCATTTGAGATGGCTGGGGGGTGACCTTCACTTTTCCCACAGCTAGGCTGAGAGGATGCTGACTAGAGTCATCTGTTAAGTTAACTCCATCTCAGCAATTATTCCCTTTTTTATTTTTAGTGACAAGAGGCTTTATTAATTCACTCTGCTTCTTGTTATGGTTTATAAATGCAACAAGCTCATTCTGAATTACTGCAGTGTAACATCAATTTGTTTAAATCTAATTCTGCTCCCGTTGCCAAATTATGTTGTGACTGTAATTGTGGCCATATGCATGGGCTTAAAACACAATCATGTTTTGAAATCGTCTCTCCCCTCCCCCCCCTCCCTTCCCCTTCTTCTGGTGCTTCTTCTAATCATTTGACATTAACACAATTGCCTCCTTTCCCATTACTCCAGCATCTGAGAAATAATAGTGCTTTCCATGAGAAGGATTACTACGTTACACCCCAAGTGAAAGAGTAAAGAAGGAAAGCATGATTTGTGAAGTGTGCTCGCTACCCAGCTAAGTTAGTGAAAAACAGTGCCATAACATATGACTCATAAAACCTAGAAATCATCATAGTATTAAATTCAACCTCATGAATAAATAAAAGATTCTAAGTTTACATTGCATTGTATATTTATTTATTTATTTGGAAAGTGGGACCAAAGAACTGGTATAATTCTACAGTAACTCAGATCTTGCCACAAAGAAAAATGTTTTTATGATTCTTTTCTAGGTCATAACAGAAGCAGAGTTATTTGTGCAGCAATTTAAGCAATGTTTGGTTTGGCTATTTTGTTATGCATTCATAATTGTTATTTTTAAATTCATGTGAACAGATTTAATGTTTCATGCCTTTTAAGAAACACTTTTTTATTAAAAATAATAATAATAAATCAAAGTCAAATTTTCTGTAGATCTTTTAGTATTTCTTCATTGGGAAATCTTACGTGGAACTCGACTGTTAATTGTTAACTGTACCTGAATTTCTACTTGTCTCCTCATGCCAATGAGAACCATCTCAAAAGCATGTTAGAACATTACTTGGCTCTTTTAACTTGCAAGATTTAAGATATTTTAAAAATCATTAGTGAATTTCACTTTCATGGCTTCTTATGGATTTTATATAGCAGAGTTACGTAAGATGACACTCTTTGAGAAATTGTCAATACTACCAGGCAAGCAAGAGGTGGCCAGGGAGTGAGTATGTGTGTTGTCAATGCCCAAACTCTTCCCTCAGCTCCTGGTCAGGGATCTGATGAACCTGATCATCAGATAGAGAAAATACCACCAGAATCACAGAACTCACCCTGTCTCTTGGATATGTATCCGAATTTGCTAGGCTAAAAATGCCTACCATTATTTACAGGGTTTTTGACAAGTTTCCTAAGAAGTGAGGAAATACATGGCCCTCGGCAGCCAGATAATATTAATCCCCTTTGAGCATTAAGAGACCATTTAAAAGGCAATTTGCCTCAATGCTGCTTTTCTAATTAACTATATATCACTATGCTGGACACATTGGTTCAGTCCAAATAAGTGCTTTAAAAAATATTTCTGTAAGTGGTAAATCACTTGTATTTACCTCCAAATGCACTACAAGATTGTTTAAAATCAAATACTCCACTTCCCTCAAAGGACTTGCTTTAAACAACACTTCTATTTTATAAATCCAAAAGGAAAACACTTTCTCGGTGTTGTCACATATATGGATTAACAACAAACAATAAGAAGATTAACTCGTGATTGGCAGGCCAGTAGTTTGAGCAAAATATGTCTCTTATTTTATGCTCACATAGGGACTCCTCCTTGGGCCCTTCTCAGTATAGAGAGTCTCACTACTTTCTTTCATAGCTTTCCTTTCACTTAACTAAACTTACTCTATTAACCTTAATAAGAATATAAACAAATGAATGAATAAACAAATTAAAAATAAAGCATGCAGATGTTGATTTTTAGTCGATTTTTTTCAAAAGAATATTATAATAAATGGATATGTCATACAAGGCAAAGTGCCTACTCAAATCCTCTTTATTCAAAATACCAGGGGACAATATCCAAAGTACTCATTCTCTTTGGAAATTTTATATATATATATATAATATCTAAGATTCTTTCCTGAATTTTGAGCTCCTTATTTAACTCTGAATTATACCTTGGTCATAAGCAAAACATGACTTTCACTACATCTTGAGGGAGGTCTTTAAAAACTTCAGTACTCATCAAGAAAAGTTTTCAGGAAATAAAGCAGTTGCCTGGGGTTGCAAAGCTCTGGCACTGTATCAGCTAAGTCAATATTAATTCTAAATCAAGGAGAAAACCAACCACAACAAAAGAGAAGTCTACTTCTGTCTATACAGCCAGAGAAATATTTTTATTTCAAAGGTGTTGGGACCCATGGGAAGCAGATAAAAACTCATTCACATTATTCACACTGACATTTTAAATAAAGTTTCAGCAGGAATAAAAAGATCTAACTTTCTGGCTATTTCTTAGGCTATGAAAGTATTTCTATGATAAAATGCTGTTAGGCTAAACTTGCTAGAATAACATAAAGCACACATAAAGAGACTGAAAATATATTTCTAGGCTACAAGAATGGAATAAAGAAGGTGAAAATGTTCACGAAGGAAATTGGGAAGATTAATCTGAGACTATTAGGGGAGTTAGAAATGGCATTTCAATTTAATCCTAAAGCGCATCTCACTGTTATTCTTAATTTCGTCAGAATAGATGCTTAAGAGCTTTTGAGAGATGTCAAAAATGAAAAACGTATTTTTAAATGTATAAGTTGCACCTTAATTATCATTTTTAATGCTGAAATGATCTCAAACTATTTCCCATTTTAAATGAAGCACTATACTTCAAACAACACACAAAGAGTCTTTGCTTTGGGACACTAACAACAGCAAGTCAGTGTCAAAAGCACTTAAAGATTCTGAGATCCTAGTCATGCAAACCTACATTGGATTATTTTCCCTCTCATTATTTTGCTGACATAAAAAGCTGGACTCTGCTTGCATCCAATGCTTATTATTTAGTATCCATCATTTGAAGTGGTGGATACACCATGCTGCTGTTTCTTTGGGTTTTTCTAGCCTCCTATAACTAAGATACAGAATATTTAAAATGTCTGTACTCATTCTCTTTTTTTCTTGTTGTAAAGTCATTTCCTTCATAAAAATGTTGCTCTAGATTATTTATATATTCTATATTATATTATTTATTATTTATATATTCTAGATCTCAAGATCTACAATACTTAAAATGCCTTACTCATTCAGTTTTTGGCTGTAAAATTATTTTACTCCCTGTAAAAATCATAGCTCTAGATTATTTAGGCTCATCAACCAAAAATAGAGAAATCTGAATGAGATGAAAATAGAGTTTTGAAAACAGATTTATTTATATTTTCTTCACTATTACTAATTCTAGACAGAATGAAAGCTACTCCCTTTCATTTTACAAAAAAATAAAATTCCAAGGACAAAAGGATCACAGTCTTATAATCCACATTCCCTCTTCTACTACTAAGGAAACGACTTTTAATTCTGGAAAAAAATTAAGACCTCATTTAAACAACTCATTACTTACATATGCTTTTCTCTTGTTAATACGTGGCAAACTGATTCCATAGTATGCATTCACAGCAGCTCTGTGGTGGATGTTTTCAGGATTCTGCATGATTTTCACATTCAAGCCTAGCTTTCTCTGAAACAAAGAAGCGATGAAACTTTCATGCCAGAGGAACAGAAGTGCTTCCTAATCCTTTGTATACTGAGAAGAACATAAAGTTCTTTGAAAATAATGATTTTTAATTCTCACTGAAGAAAACAGATTTGGATCTTTTAGGTTACTAATCGGTCCTTTAAGAAAGGGAACTTTCTGTCAATTTTCCCCTAAGCACACTATTATATCCACAGATACATGCTCAAGCATCATTTATTTTCTCAAAAAAAAAAAAATAATCCTACAAGCCAACCAAGGTGGGCAAAGGAGAAGAATACCTGATCTCCATTTATTTTTAGCTTCCAGGTCAAAGACCTTGTGTAGGAAATCTATACTCCAAGTACACAGGTAGAGGGCTCCCTTGGTCTGTTAATGTGGCCACTTTTCTTCAGGGAAATTTAACAGGTAAATCTCAGTCTGGACCTGATAAATTTACCATAACAAATTTATTTACTCCTTCATAGAGAATTTTGCCAGCTGCAAAAAATAATTTGTGTTTTCCTTAGAAACAAAAGTAAAAACACCTCCATAATAACCTCCAAATAACTTATTCCTCATTGTAATTTATTTTTAAGTACAAAGGAGTTTCAATTCAACGTATCAGTTTATGAGTACAATGCATCTTTCTTTTTAGGATATTGATATATAATTTTATTGCCTATTTAAACAAACACTAAGAAATATAGATGCAGCAAAAATGGACTCCTTTTTAATTTCGTTGTATTAATAAAATTCACTTACGTGATGGTGTTTAGCACAAAGAAACAAATATATTGGTATGACTGCTTTGTGTGTTTGAGCACAGGTGCAACACCCTGGAGCTTGAACTGAGGGCCTGGGCATTGTTCCTCAAGGTTGGTAGTTTACTACTTGAGCCACAGATCTACTTCCAACTTTTTGGAATTGTAGATAAGAGGCTCATGGACTTTCCTGCTCAAACTGGCTTTGAGGCACATGTCCTCAGCTTGCTGAACAGTTAGGATTATAAGACATGAGTCACCGGCTTCTGGATGTACAGCCTTTTATAACATATATCCCTCTTCCTTTTATTTTTAAATAGTGTTTTAATAACCAAATCTCCAGCTAACTGCTCTCGGCTGTCGCCTTCCTTCAACTAACGCAGAGACACAGCCTGCAAACAAGACAAGTCTGGTAACTCTCCATGAGGAACCTCCAACGAGTTAAAGGTAATGTAGCTCCTACTTAAAAATGGTTTCCTTCTGTGGCTAAGCCACACTCACAGCACTGTGTCAGCCTTTTTGCAGAGAAGCAGAGTGCTTCTTTTTTATTGAAATTTAATACCTGAACATATTTTTTCCTTCTTAATTAAACTTGCAGAATAATTTCTATTCTACCAAGGATCAGGAAATTGCTAATATGTATTATATCGACTGGATGTGCTTTCTTTAATTAGGGCTTTTTTAATGTGTATTCTGGATCCTGTTGATGATAATAGCTTCATCTATCATGGGTAAGCTTTGTTAGAACTTTGTAATTCGGGGATCATTGGCTCGGTGATCTGGTACAGGGAGGAAATGATCAAAAGCAGATCACTGTTAGAACTGGCATTCAAATTGGGTTGCTTTCTACCATTTTTACCTTTCTGTGGCACTGACACATTTATCCTACAAATAGATCAACATGTCAATAGAAATCCAACAGAAACAATAGGTACTGATTCTTTATGGTTGGCTTCTAATACAATGAGAAAAGTCTTTAAAATTATTAACATCCTAATATTTACTAATTATTAACATCCTAATTAAACATGTATATTAAAATAATAATATATAGTGTGCATATTTTAATTTCTCTTTGAGAACATATTGGACAGTAGCAGAGTACTGGTATTCATGTGAGAAGCCCTGGGTTTGATGCTACCTGAAGGCATTTACATTTAGACAGTATTAGCACATCAAATGTCTTCATTGACAGTCACCATCAAATAGATTCAGAACCTAAATTTGTCTTAAGAGCTAGAGAGACATTAGCAGGGATGTTAAGAAAATGCCTGTAAGAATAGGCTGCTTCAGAGCTGTTATCAGATCTGGCAATAAAGATATTTTTGTATATGTGTGCTGGTAATAGGGCTTGAACTTAGGACCTGGGTACTGTCCTTTAGGTTTTTTTGCTCAAAGCCAGTGCTCTACCACTTGAGCTATATCTCTACTTCTGGTTTTTAGTAGTTAATTGACAATAAGAGTCTCACAGACTTTTCTGCCCTGCTGGCTTCAAACCATAATACTCAGATCTCAGCCTCCTAAGTAACTAGGATTACAGGCATGAGCCATATAGGCCAGGCGATAAAGATTTTTTTTAAAGAAAAACAACTATAGGTTTAAAAACCAAAGAGGTAAGTAATTATTCCATTAAGTAGAAAAGCATCCAATGGAAGATGATATTTTTAATAGCAGTAAGATAAATATCACAAATAATTCCAGAATTTTTTCTCACATTGGTCAAGAAAAGACAGTCATTTATTCACTTATCTGGAGTACTGAACAATCTAAACTTTGTTTTCTCTCCTCTTCATAGTAATTACAAGCAGATATATCAAATGTGACTCTCATTTAGATTTCGGTTTGTAAGAACAAAAGTTATTATCAGAGCCAATTACCGTTTTACCTACATGGCTGCACAGAAGCAGGGAGCTCAATTTTCATCTCATCAGTGATTTTGTGGTATTTATTTTATTACTATGCCCACAAAGCTATATAAGAGAGAAATAGCTTATGCTATTAAAGCTAGGGTTGGAATATAACAGGCTGAGGTTTCTTTAGAAAGAAGTTCTGAATTAAAAACACTAGGCAGTATGTAATACCAGCTCCCCAGACACGGACAGACCATAAAAACCACACACATCTGAGCAGTAGCTCGAAAACAGAGTAATCAAAATTGAAATGCTTCACAAACAAGGTTACTAAGTTACAGGATTATCAGAATAACATTATTCTCAACAGAATTTGCTACAAGGAATGTCTTTCAAAGTGGATATTGCTTAATATCATATTCCTACTGGTAAAAGACATCTGCATTAAATCTCGAATCCAGTTACAAGACAGGTAGGAAAATTATTTAGTCGCCATTCTTGTCTGTAATGTAAGAACAATAGACATCAAGTTGTAGTTCAATGTCATTTCTAAACATACTTCACAGGATTACCTGTGAGGTTCCAATGGCTGATGTATGTCAAGTGTCTTATAAATAATAAAATACTATTCAAAGAACACCTTGACAGGGGCCAAAACATAACAACTGCAATGGATTGAACCATTATAAATATAAAACTACAACTTCTCAAAACTTCTTCCCTCAAGCTAGGAGGAGGGCACAGAATCAGAAGGAAATGGGAAAACATACAACAGAGGGGCCCATCAGCTGCACTGGACATAGCTGAAAATGAACTAAGCAACCCAAAGACAGTGATGGGAAGGGAAGATATGAGAGGGAAAGAGGGAACAGCTTACACTAAGCAAAAGGAAAGAAATGTAAACATCATCTGATGCGGAAGGAATAGTTGTATTGTCAAAGCCCATAGAATTCACAAACTTTATAGACCATGATAATGGCAATTTGCCTTGTTGAAGGTTAAAATGTGTTTGTGACTTTAACTAAGTATCACTATTTCACAATACTGTGAAATATGTAAAATTTATATAATCACCTAATCTCAATAAAATATGCATAAAAATTTCTTCCCTCAAAAACCTAATGACAAAATTTATTTTAATCTGAAAATTGACATGCAAAAGATGGAATGAAGCATTTATCCTACTTTTCCTTTAAAAATACATATTCATGCCAAAAGAGTACTAAGGAAAAGTTCTTCATAGGCTGAAAGGACAGAATTTTAAAGTTACTGCTTTACAGTCCTTCATGAAATAATATCTTTAAGTAAGCAGCAGCAGTGGTTGCTAAGACCATGAAATAGGTTTTCTTTCGTTTTTTTTTTTCTTTTTTTTTGTGCCAATCCTGGGGCTTGAATTCAGGGCCTCAAGGTCTTGCTTAGCTTTTTCTGTTCAAGGCTAGCACTTTACCACTTGAGCCACACCCCAGCTTCAGCTTTTTGGAGTGTAATTGAAGCTGAGAATCTCATAGACTTTCCTGCCTGGGTTGGCTTCAAACAGTGATGCTCAGATCTCAGCCTCCGGAGTAGCTAGGATTATAGGTGCGAGTGCCACCAACACCCAGCTTTTCCTGCTTTTTTTCTTTTTAATGGACAGATACAATTAATCTATTCTCGACCCATCACTGCATGAATTGCCACAATCCATTCTTGCATGACCTCCTCCCTCTTTAAAATCCTGCAAGTTTCCCACAGCAGGAATGATCTGATCCATTCCTTCTCTCTAGCCTCCACTTCCTCCAAACAGTTGTATGCTCTACTTATGCTAAATGAACAGTCTCCTGTCTCTGTGAGTGAAGCTGCTGTCTTCTGGGGACGCCTTCTCTGCACTTTAGTCTTCTAGGCACACTTATACTGATGCCTGATTGTCATCAGGCACAGCCTCCCTGACTCCTCAGCCTTGCAAACCCTCTCCACTTTTCTGCTCCCAAACATTCATTCATTCACTCACTCACTCAACCCTGCTAAGGGTTAGGAACAAGACAGCTCAAGTCCCTGCCTACATAAAGCTCATATTCCTGAAGAAACAAGAGGTCTCAGCCAATAAACACATAGACATATATATATTTCTGATAACCATTAGTGCTTTCAGACAATGGGAGCCAGGCACCAATGGCTTGGGTCTGTAATCCTAAGTACTTTTTTTTTTTCCTGTCGGTCGTGGGGCTTGAACTCTGGTCCTAAGCACTGTCCCTGTATTCTTCAGCTCAAGGAGAGTGCTCTACAGCTTGAGCCACAGCACCACTTCCTGTAATCCTAAGTACTGAAATCAGAAAATCGTAGTTCACAGCTAGACCAGCAGGATAAACTGTGAGACTCATCGCTAATTAACCACCGAAAGCTGGAAGTGGATCTG